ATGAAGGAGTCTCCCTCAATGACAATCTTCTCACTGGGCCTAATCTGAACAACAAACTTATAGGAGTTTTACTTCATTTCAGACAAGAGCCAATTGCTGTTATGGCTGACATTCAACAGATGTTCCACTGTTTCATCGTCCGTGAAGACTACAGAAACTTCCTCAGGTTCCGATGGTACCGCAATAATGATATCAACGATGAAGTCATAGACTACCGAATGAGGGTACATGTTTTCGGTAACAGTCCTTCTCCTGCAGTAGCAATTTATGGACTGAGGAAAACAGCTCAAAAGGGTGAGAAAGAATTTGGATCTGATGCAAGACAGTTCATCGAAAGGAATTTCTATGTAGATGGCAGACTCAAATCTCTGCCCAATGAAGAGGAAGCTATTGACCTTCTTACTAGAACCCCAGAACATGCTTGCCACTGCAAACCTCAGACTTCACAAAATTATCTCTAACAGCGACAAGGTCATGATAGCCTTTCCTTTTGATGACCATGCTGTCAGTGTGAAGAAATTCCAACTAGGATCTGACCTTTCTGTTACACAATGCAGTATTGGATTGCTTTGGAATGTTAAACAAGACACATTCACATTTCAAGCATCAGCCTGTGACAAGCCCTTCACAAAGCGAAGAGTATTGTCTACAGTGAACAGCATTTATGATCCGTTAGGTTTCATTACACCTCTCACCATTCAGGGTGGGGGGGGGGGGGGGGGTGGGGGGGGGGGGGGTAGGGGGGTGGGGGGGGGTGTGGGGTGGGGGGGGGGGGGGTGACTTGTTGCCGACCCTGCCTGATCCTGACCTCTGCTGACTTCTCCTGTTTGATCCCTGGCTTGTGACCCTGACCATTCTCTGCCTGACCCCCTGTACCTACCTGTCCGTTAGTTGCTGTACCCGGCTCGTGACCTGACTACTCTCCGCCTGCTCCTCCTGTACCTACCTGCCCGATAGTTATCGACCCGGCCTGCCTGACTACGTTGTGCTCTATATGTGTATGTACCTGTGTATCTATATCAGTTTAGGTTTGGGTTTATTTCACCTTGTTGTATGTATTTGTGTTAGCTTGGGGTTTTGGTGCACTGCGTTTATGTTTGTATTGTTAGTCTTAATAAATTGTCTTATTTATACCATATCTGAAGCTTGCGTTTCCCTGCGTCAGTCCACACACTTCTGGTCACACCCCCCACATCCCTGACACTAGCCTCAATCCTGCTGACTGCGGCAGTCGTGCAGTACCTACCACTTGCATTTCTGGACACATCTTGGCTAGAGATGAGCGAATCGAACCAGGCGAAGTGGAATTCGATTCAAAAAATAATCAGGAAAAAAAAGTCGATTCGCGTGTCGAATCCGAATATTAAGAAAAATTTCGGCAGGCGCGAATCGGATTTTTTCCCGATCAACCGGCAAAATGTCCTGCAAAAAGCTCCGATAAATTCATGACAGGTTCTCTGACAGTTTCCTTCTCACTGTACAGCGGTGGAAAAATTGTAAACTATTTTGTATCCAAATTAGGAACAGATGTTTTTTTTCGAAACAAAAGAACAATGTTTCAAACCGCTGTAAAAAAAAGTCAGAGAACTGTCAAAAAATAGGGGAAAAAATAGGCAGATACACATTTTGCCGGTTGGAAATATTCTTTTTTTCAATCATAGGTAAATTCTTCTCTTCTTCGTTCTTCATCCTCAAAACTCATCCGAAAAGAAAGAAAATAAGAAAAAAAAAATATGAGGATTAAGAAAAAGAAAGAAGAAGATAGAAGAAGTAGGAATTCCAAGCCGTCAAAAAGTGTATCTGCAGAGCTCCTCTATTCTGCAGATACACTTAGGGAGCTCTGCATATACACTTTTTGCCGGCTTGGAATTTCTTCTTATTTTCATCCTACTTCTTTCTTCTTCTTTCTCTTCTTCCTCTTCATCCTCATCCTCATCCTCTTCTTCTTCTGAGGATGAGGATGAAGAGAATGAAGAAAAAGAATAGGATGAAAATGAAAAGAAGAATTCCAAGCCGGCAAAAAGTGTATCTGCAAGCTCCTCTAGGATGAAAATAAGAAGAATAATTCCAAGCCTCAAAAAGTGTATCTGCAGAGCTCCGCTAATTGTATCATGTCACAGAACTGTCAGAAAAAGCCTATTTCTGACAGTTCTGTGACATTCCCTCCATACAGCGGTTGAAACATTGTATCTATTTGTTTCCATAAATGGAAACAAATAGATACACATTCGTTTCAACCGCTGTATGGAGGGAATGTCACAGAACTGTCAGAAATAGCGGAGCTCCTCTGCAGATACACTTAGCGGAGCTCTGCAGATAGATTACAGCGGTTGAAACATCTTCTTATGTTTCAACCTACAGTGTATTCTTTCGCTTCTTCCTGAATGTCAGAGAACCTGTCAGAAATAGCCTATTTCTGACAGTTCTGTGACTTTCACTCCATACAGCGGTTGAAACATGAGCCTATATGTTTTCAACCGCTGTATCTATCTGCAGAGCTCCGCTAAGTGTATCTGCAGAGCTCCGCTATTTCTGACAGTTCTGTGACATTCCCTCCATACAGCAGTTGAAACATTGTATCTATTTGTTTCCATAAATTGGAAACAAATAGATACAATGTTTCAACCGCTGTATGGATGGGAATGTCACAGAACTGTCAGAAATAGCCTATTTTCTGACAGTTCTGTGACATTCACTCCATACAGCGGTTTCAATCGCTGTATGGAGGGAATGTCACAGAACTGTCAGAAATAGCCTATTTCTGACAGTTCTGTGACATTCCCTCCATACAGCGGTTGAAAACATTGTATCTATTTGTTTCCATTTATGGAAACAAATAGATACAATGTTTCAACCGCTGTATGGAGGGAATGTCACAGAACTGTCAGAAATAGGCTATTTTTGACAGTTCTGTGACATTCCCTCACCATACAGCGGTTGAAAACCGCTGTATGTAGTGAATGTCACAGAACTGTCAGAAATAGGCTATTTCTGACAGTTCTGTGACATTCCCCATCCATACAGCGGTTGGTTGAAACTCCTTCTTCTCATCCTTCTCCTTCTCCAATCCTTCTCCATCTTCTCATCCTTCTCCTTCTTCTCATCCTTCTCCTTCTCCTTCTTCTCATCATCCTTCTCCTTCTTCTCATCCTTCTTCTCATCCTTCTCCTTCTTCTCATCCTTCTTCTCATCCTTCTCCTTCTTCTCATCCTTCTCCTTCTTCTCATCCTTCTTCTTCTTCTCATCCTTCTTCTTCTCATCCTTCTCCTTCTTCTCATCCTTCTTCTCATCCTTCTCCTTCTTCTCATCCTTCTTCTCATCCTTCTTCTCATCCTTCTCCTTCTTCTCATCCTTCTCCTTCTTCTCATCCTTCTCCTTCTCCTTCTTCTCATCCTTCTCCTTCTTCTCATCCTTCTCCTTCTTCTCATCCTTCTCCTTCTCCTTCTTCTCATCCTTCTCCTTCTCCTTCTTCTCATCCTTCTCCATCTTCTCATCCTCTCCTTCTCCTTCTTCTCATCCTTCTCCTTCTCCTCATCCTTCGCCTTCTTCTCATCCTTCTCCTTCTTCTCATCCTTCTTCTTCTTCCTTCTTCTCATCCTTCTCCTTCTCCTTCTCCTTCTTCTCTCATCCTTCTCCTTCTCCCTTCTCCTTGTCCTTCCTCATCTCCAAGGGCATTTAAATTAAAGGTACAGTGTTCTGCACTAATTTAAAGGCTCTCTGAAGCCTAGAAACCCTTTTAATAAGTTAAATTCATAGCGAATTAATTCGCATCGAATCAAATTTCTTCCTCAAATTCGGCGAATCAGCCGAATCGAATTTTTGAATAATTCGCTCATCTCTAATCTTGGCTATATCCACCATGAAAGAAGGTTCTGCACACCTTAAACTTCAGGCCTAAAAGGAACTTGTACTTCTTTTGCCCAAAGAAAAAGACAAGTCATCAACTTGAATTACAGGGAGGTAAGAAGGGAATGGTGCATGTGCTGCCTTCCCCTCTGAATATGGATTTCCATGTCTCAGTATGGACTTTCAAGACCAATATCTGCAAGTATTATGCTAAATGTTTGCATTGTATTCCTTTGTTCTTATTTTCTTTCTTGTTTTGCAGATGTTCCTGGAAAGAATTACTTATATTGGACTTGGACTAAAGTTTGTTATAATAGAAAATCATAGATTTCGACGGGGAGTGTCATGTTTCACATGACTGTTCATATGCCTTTAAGTTTCTTTGTATATTTCTCTGCTCCTCCCTTTCCTTTGGTTTAGTTCATGCTGTATAGATAGCCCACCCTTTTTCCCAGTAATGCTTTTCAGCTTCTAGCCTCATGTCTTATGGAAGCAGATCACATTATGATCTTTTGACCTATCCGATGTTCATTGTTGTAAGATTCTCTAAGTTTATGGAATAAACTTCAAAAGATCTACAAGGTTTTATCTGATGGAGTCACTGCCTGTGTTATTCAACACAGTTATCTCTATCTCATCACAACTGTAAATTACAGAGATTACACTTTCAATGCTTAGATTGGAGAGACAGAACACTTACAACTGTGCTACTAGCTGTGATTGGACACAGTGGTCACATGTACAGACTGGGCCAATTACAGCCCATCTGTAGCTTTGGCTAGTCACAGCTGGTCACAACAAAAACTACTAAATGAATCAGTTTAACCACTAGGTGACTGCCCACAGTACATATACTGCGGCAAAGCGGCCCCTGTGTGCAGGATTACATATATAAACGTGATCCTGCATTTCCGGGTAGGGGGCACGCCCTAGCTGCGCCGCCGATCGTGTCCACGGGTGTCATTCACTGGGTCCCAGCCGGTGATTACCTGCCAAAGCCTGGTGATTACAGGCGATCACTGAAAGGGACTCAGTTTGGGCACACTGATACGGATGGATGAGCACAACCATCCAGATCAGTGTGCTTACAGTGAAGCACACCCCCCCACCCCCCCCTAGTAAAACACTCCCATCTCACAGTTAACCCTTTGATTGCCTCCAAATGTTAACTCCTTTCTCCCCAGTGCCATTAGTACAGTGTCAGTGCTTTTTTTTTAGCAGTGATCACTGTATTGGTGTCACTGGGGATGTCAGAGACCCGAAGTCAGTTCCCCCCCAGTGCCAGAATGTCCACCGCAGTCCTGCCATAAGTCGCTGATTGCTGCCATAAGTTGCTGATCACCGCCATTATTAGTATTAAAAAAAATACATTCCAGTATACTACACCGCCATTTGTAAACGCTATAACTTTCACGTAAACCAATTAATTTACATGTATTGGGATTTTCTTCAGCAAAGACATGTTGCAGAATACATTTTAGCCTAAATTTATGAGGAAATTAGATTTTTATATTTTTTTACCAGACATGTTTTATAGCAAAAAGTCAAAAATGTTGTTTTCTAAAAATTGTTGTTCTTTTTTTTATAGTGCAAAAAATAAAAAATGCACAGGCGATCAAATACCACTGAAAGAAAGCTCTATTTGTGGGGGAAAAGGTGGTAAATTTCATTTGGGCACAGCGCTGCATGACCGCGCAATTGTCAGTTAAAGTAATGCAGCGCTGTAACGTAAACCGCTTCTGTAAGTGCTTCCTGTCCGTCCTATAGTAGAAATACTGCAGCAGGGCGGCACGGGTGCACAAAATCACATATATATATATATATACGTGATTCGCGCTCCCGTGGCTTTTGCGCTCCTCCCAGATAGCGTCATATTGCCCGTCAGTACACCAGTAATCACATTTAACCCCTTGATTGCCAGGAACACGCTCATACACAATAAACCTCCATTGCTAGTATAGTATCTGAAAGGATCAATATCTTTGATCCGATCAGCACTATACCAGCTTCAAAGGGCCGTGACAGGATGAGAGGGGGTGTATGTAAAGAGTAAATATGCGAGCACTATTCTGAAAGAAAAATAGCCGCTGAAACACCTAAAAAGGCAACCAAACAAAACCTTCCAATGCAAATTTCAATATGAAGGTGCAGCACTTAAGACTAAATATGCAGCGTAAATCTCATCAGTAATGTATAGAAATGAGAAGATGAAGTTTTAAAAAACTGTGCAGTGTGAATAGATCGATAACATATGCTCAGTATGTAGGTATAGATAATAAGCAATACCAGATCAATCAAGAAAATCAACAAATATAAATAAATGTGCATAAATTATGTCACCAATCTGTGAGTAAAGTGCAAAAAAAAGCCTCAGATGTATTGCCCACGTGAGGATTGTGTATGATCCCGATAAGCATACGTGGAGAGTTAGTCCAAGTGGCAGATATTCAATGTAAATGAAATGCGCACTCACCAGAAGTGCGTGTAAACACGCATTTGAAATATAACCTATCTCAATAGGTATAGCTTAGGTCATCCGCCTCCCAGGTCAGGTCAGGATACTTCCCAGTCACATCTGCATGGAG